CACACACACACCCCCTCTCTCTGCACCGGACCATATTCTGTGTGCGTTGCCTACAATATGCAGCCCTAGCCCATGCGTGTGTCTTGGATTTGGGGATCACTTCTGTCCGCGCTTTGCTTGAGTAACTCCGAATTACAGTGCCCCCGTCTCCCCATCTTCACAATTCTCCGTCCTTTCAGTTTCTTCTTCTCTTTTTTAAGGGATCAACTTTATTGACAACGAATCTTTTTTTTCCACTTAATATCTTTAAATGAGCCACCCAAAATATGTGTGTGTCAATCTCTCTCCCTTTCTCTTGTCTTCTGGTCCACCTCAGACCTGTCTGACTCTCTTTTCCTTTTGCGGGCATCAAAATAAAAGTGCCGTGCTTTCACAAGGTCTCGGTATCATCAGGGGAAAGGGAATCACACTCAGCTGCAACCCCGGGGCCAATGATTTGATTACAGATAAAAGGTTCTTTCTCCGGTTTGGCCTGTCAAACGGCGCCGTCAAAGAGCATCTCGGAACTCGTTGCAGCTGAGCCTGTGTGTCTCAGCGGCGTAAGGCGCTGTTCACCAACGTGGTGCTGAAACTATTAAACTGCGAGCAGCCACAGCACTGCGCTGCGCGTCATGCATATTCAGCCCGGGATTAGGGTGCCTTTTGTGCTCAACGTCAACACTGAACGCTACAGACAGCTCTGGGTTTTAGAGGTAAACATGAGGTGGAAAGACACTGAAGGACAAGTCACAGACTGGGGAGAGAGTCCACTTTCTGCTATAACTCGATAAGAACCCACAAAGAGATTTATCTTTCAGGTTAGAACAACTTTTATTCTGTGATCATGTTCAAGCTTTGTTTACGGTAGGACATATTTCAGTGTGGATGAGTTATAGCTAAAACAAAAATGTAACTGATAGGCTACTTCCAAGTCTTTAGATTTAGTGCAGTCAATTCAGCTTTCAGCAACTAAATCAAGAGAAAGGCTCTGCTGTTGTTTTGATGCACATAAATAAGGATCCTGAACTAAACTTTCTCTTATCTTTCACTCAAAAAACAACCACAGGGTTAACTTTTTCCGAGGCAATGAAACCTCCAAACACTTTTGATACAAATATGGCCGATCTTTGTGCTTTCGCAGCTTTTGCAAACCTATTATTCTTGGCAACCTCCTACTCTTTGTCAAACTACAACCTACTCATTTCCCCATTCTACAGCATTTTCTTACACTTTACCAAGTTTCCTGTCAAGGTGCTGCCACTTCACAGCCCTCTCTAACCACGGCCCTTTGTAGCTGCCTGCATCACTACATAAACTAGCCTTAGAGCAATTTTATTCAAACCAACGTAGCATTTTAGTTTTTATCTGTTAATGCTGAGAGGGTGTGTGATGGTGCTTTTGCATGCCCTCCTTTGTGAGAGGTTTGTTCCTCAGGGACCTTGCAGCTTTCAGTTACAGTAAACAAAGAACGAAAGAGGCACCCGTCTGTCTGTATACATATCCTCAGATGTGGGCCTATTAACGGACTTATGCCCCCTCTACCATTATAAACTACAAACAAAACGCGCACACACACACACACACGCTCAAGTGTGTGAGCAGAGTCCTGTATAACAATAAAAAAAAATGTTTACTGCTATGATGAGACAGTGACCCTCTCTCGTATCTCACAAGTCTTTGGACAGAGGTTCCTCAGTGATGGATTTCCCTTGTGCTTTAATGGTTGGAGGATTGTACTGTACTATAGCTTTTTGTATGAAAAGCCTTCAAAGATGTACTTCCCTGTGTCTGTTATTGCATATTCTTACATAAGAAGACATTGCATCAAGTTTCTTCTATAGTGACCTCGACAACATAACGATCTTTTTACTAATTTAAAAAGTAAAATTCCCTACCTTAAATGCACTGTCCTGTAAAATATCCACAATTGGTGGGTTTTGCATTTTTCAGGGATTTCCAATAATGATTATTATATTATTTCTTAGGCTAAAAAGCCTTTTAAAACCCATCAAGTTATTTGAGAAATGCGTTGTCACAAAGCTGAACATATGACTGTTTTACTTAAAACATTAATGTTGTTGTCTGGTCAACTTTGCCTGAAGGAGGAGGAGCCTGGGCTCATGAGTTTAGTATTTATAATATTCTAGCTACTGCACAGCAATGCTGACCATGTTTTTCTGCATGAGCCTTAAGGTCTGTATGCTCTTAAATAAGTACAGCAGTTTTCCTCTGCTCAATTGAACTCCACTCTCTCCAGTGTTTGTAAGTGTGTATTCGTGTGTGGATGTTTACAGTGTACTGATGCTGATCTGTCCCAATAGCCAGTTTTGTTAGTTTCCCACTGCTCTTCAGTTTAAACTCTAATGCCACCCCGCTGCTCCAATTTCCTGCAGCCGCACTAGCCCAAACCTCGGCAGATCATATCAGCACACGTTCCTAATGACAATAAAGCTGTCTGGGTGGGAGAAAAAAACCCACACTCATGTCTGCACCCGAACACGTAGACGGAAATATAAACACCTGCGGGAAATCTTATGTGTCCTGTTTCAGTATTGGAAACATTGTCTTTATGCTTTCTCTTGGCCACATTTCCACTGGGAATGCACTTCTCTCACACGAAAGAAAGAAAACCAATTTTATGCAGGAAATTACCTCCACACTATATTCTGGCAAAAGCTTTAGTTAATGTCTCATACACTTAACCACTGCTAGGTAATGTATTTTCTGTGTCCTGGAGTGCCACTAAGAGTGAAGCAGCGGCGGTAATGAGAGCATCCAGAACAATCAAGTAATGCAAAATACAATGGCAGACACTTAAGGCTCCTCGATAGGGATTGTATTTGTTAATCATGTTCTTCTAATGTCACGGGTCTGAAAGCACATTGAATGGTACAGGTGTGTGTGTGTGTGTGATTCAGTACCTTAAGGGAGGGGGTATTTGTACTGATTATTCACAAGAGGAAACCCGTTGTGTATATTTTAAACACTCTAATTCCCTGAAGTACCTCCCCTTCTCCCTTGCTATCTCCCTGCTCCTGGTGCACTCATTACTGTTGGAAATGATGCAGTAATACTGAGAGGATGGGGGTGGGTGGGAGAGTGGGTGAGTCAGAGCGTGAGACAGACTAGGGGACAGAACTAAAGAAAAGGAGAGAAAAGATCGAGAGTAGGCAAAATCTTGGTGATATCGGTTTTCCCAAGTTGCCGCCTCTGGCTCTTTTCACTGCCCTCTCTCCTTATAAACAGTCGCAAATATTACGGTTTGGGGCACATATTGCTGTCTTTTATGCGAAGTGGATGAGATTGCATCTGAATGTAATACGATCCAGAAGTGAGTGAGTTTGTGTTTAAAGACAATGTGTGTGGTGTGTCTGTGTTGGACAGGATGTTCCCTCCAAAGACTCACCATAACATTACCGTAAATAGTATTTAAAACATTTTGTATTTAATTTTGGGGCAGATGGATATTCTCAAAAAACACATTTCTTTACTACTCTTACAAACAAGAGCCCAGAGCTCTACAGAGATGGTGATTGCTTTTTCACAGATAAATATTGCACAGTTCAAGGTAAATTGTGGCTCTTTTTCAAAACAGCAATCAATTTATCAACAAAGATTTTTTTTTACTTTAAGATACCATCAGCTGTGAGCACATATATTTACACATACTGTACGTGGGCAGTGAAGTTAGGATTTATATCCTAATATGTACATTTGGCCATGTGTGCTGGTGAACATTAAGATGTATTGCTCAACGGGCTATGTGTGTGTGTGTCTCCTCACCTACATGTGTGTGAGATCTTGCAAGCGTTTGTCCACTTTGTCTTTCTGAATGCGAGCATATGTGCGCTCATCGCTGAGTGTCTGCACATGCACCAGTAAGAATATAAAAATGCCATGAACAGTTGTGTCTGCATATGGGCAAAGCCATGCACACATTGGTCTTGCAGTGCAGATTGATAGGAATGAAATATTCTGTAATCTAAATGTAAATGGAAGTGAAATTTACCGGTGGGTTCTATGTAATTACCAGTGCCACAATTTATTAGAGTTGTGTTTGTGTAAGAGTGAGAGAAAGAGAGAGGGATGAAGGGGGAAATAAAGAGAACACGCGAGAGAGTGTGGAGGGGCTATCAGAGTGACAGAGTGAGAGAAGGGATGATTTATACTTAGTTATGGTTTCATGGTTGAGCAGTGTAGGCACAAGCTCACTGCAGTGAGAGGGAAATAGGAAACAAGAAGTTGGTCAAATCTGGTGAGAAGAGTCTTTTGAGGTAGAAGAAAAGTAAAGTGACCTCAGATCCAAATACTGTACGCCTTTGTTCAGCATTAAACAGAGAGAAGCGGGGGGTAACATATGGGATGAGGGCCAGATTTGGGCCTGTCAGAGCTGACAACCTGGTTTTGGATTTGGGCATGATCTCCCGGGTGTTGGTCAATTATTCTTTGGTAACGGGTTCTGATAGGTCTTTGATAAATGGAGAGTGTGTGAGTTATGCTGTCCTGACCTGAACCCTGCTGGTCCTGCAGATAAAGGGAAATGGTTTCAGAGAGAGTGGAACGGAGAACGATAGGGATCATTAAGGTGTGCTTCTGCGCTAACACTATTAATGAGACTGCATCTCTTCCTCATACGCATGCGGAGAAGGACTAAAATGTGTCTGTGTATCTTTCTCCTTTCGTTTTCCTTCTTGGGTTTATACCTGACGTTGCATGCATTTGTTTAAACTCCCTTTACTTAATTCTGGTGGGGTTGATATTCAAGATGTAGGTTTTATGCAATTGTTGTTATAGGTTACACATATCTTAAAATCCCCTCCACCCTCACCCCCCTCCTCCTCCTCCCTCTTATGCCCTCTCAGCAGCCCTCTCTCCTCCCATGACTTGCTTCAATATATTACACTTCAGATGAAAGTAATGGCCCTCAGAGTTAGCACCAATGCAGGAGTGCACTACACCATGTCCAGGAATATTGACAACGCTCAGATTGTTTGCTCGGTCATGTTACCTGGCATATTTTTTTGCATTTCTCTTCTTCTTTTGTTTGTGTTGTTAGCATGGGTTCCATGAACTTTAACCAACCTCGACCCCATACTTGCTCGGATTTGTGAAGCCTAATTTGAAATGCTGTTGACTGAATCCGCTGCGTCTGGGTGCCAGGAAAAATATGAATATGTTTCCTTTAGTTTGTGACAGTATAAACATTGTTTGGAAAGGCAGTTTATTTATCAGAATATCAGTGCTGCCGCTTAAATAATAGATACGGTCTGTTGATGGGGTCTCTAGTTCATCCCAGAGGACAAAGGGAAACGCACTGTGCTCAGACAATTTTAGTCAAACACGGGAGCACACTCAAGAGTCCTCTCATCTACAGTTATTGTATATAAAGCAATGACAGTTAAGATTAAATATGGTGTTAAAGAAGCTCATCCGCCCTATACCAGTTACTGAGGAGGAGGAGGAGGAGGAGGAGGAGGAGGAGGAGGAGGATGGGAGAGGAGAGCTAGCAGTCCAAGCTGATTTGGAGATGCCCTTATCTGGCCTGGCTGGCTGTCCCCCCACTCGTTGCTGCCAGCCACGTCGAGAAGTGCCTAGCAGGGTCAGAGGAAGTGAGGTCATGTGAATCATGGAAGCAGTTAAAGATCCACTTGGCAGCAAGAGGCAAATTCACCACTGAAGGTCAGACATACATCACCTATCAGAGAGAGATAGGCGTGCTGCTGGGGCAGAAAGAGATAGCAGAGGGGAGACAACGGAAGGGGCGATCTTCCATCTTTCACTATATTGTTGAAAGAGAAGTGCAAGTGACACAGAGAGCAGTAACGTATAGCCCACCAAGGGAGTTTTATAGTGTTGTTTTGTGCTTGAAAGCAGAGATGCCATGCAGATAAACAGCAGCTGCTCCTCTATTCATGTTATCCTCTCTTCCACCCAGCTGCACACGCACAAACACAGTAACACCTTTTAATCTCAACAAAAGAGATGTATTTCCCAGAGAATTAAACACAGGCGAGTATCTGTGGCCATGTCGCCCTGGTGGTGAGATCTTCTGGAGCCAGAGGACCAGCACAGTGACCCACTCTCAAGGCTGCTTTAATCTAATAAGTCTCTTCAACTAACTAATAGGCTGGTTTCCCAACAGTCTGCTCCACAGGGACTGTTTCTGCTTTTATCTGTTGTGTGGCTGTTGCTTCTCTTTCTCTACAAGAAACCAAAGCTACATCACAGCACATTACACCCAGGCTCTCTGTGATTAATGTGCTGGGGTATCCACTTTTGTGTTTATGCCATGCACACGTCTATGTGCGTGTGTGTGCTTGTGTGTGTGTGTTTTAATGTGCTTGGCTGGGTCTATCAGCTAGACTTTAATCTAATCTGGTAGCCAGGCCTGGCATGGTGACCTGTAATGATTTAGAGCTGACCTCAGCTCTCCAACTCAATACACTTTTTCCCACTGAGCTGCAGCGTGCATATGTGTGTGTGTATATAAATGTGTGTGTGTGTGTGTGTGTAAGAGCATGCCTGCTTGTATGTCAATACAAGCCATTTAACATAATGACAGTGAGTACGTGCTTTTGTATCATGATGCCACCTTGACTTTCCCCCCTCTGTGCTCTTTAGGTCCCTCATCCACACATACATTCAAACCCAGCACACACACACATACACACACTCACACAAATACAGTCATGGAAAAGCCTACACGTATACCTCCTGTGCTCCTTTTCTCTCTGTACCCAAATTCTTTCTCGATTTGACCTTCAGTTTGAGTTTATAAGAGTAACCTCCAATCCTATGAACAGACTGCAGTCTACAACACACACACACACACACACACACACACACACACACACACACACACACACACACACACACACACACACACACACACATACACGCACAAACACACGCACACACACAATGGTTATTGGATTCATAACTGGAAGACTATCGTCCTGTTCTCTGTGCAAGATGAGAGGTGTTGAAATGAAATTCTCCCACAGAAAAGCTCTTCTCTTACCTGGGATTTAGAAAATCTCTCTCTCACACACACACACACACACACACACACACACACACACACACACACACACACACACACACACACACACACACACACACACACACACACATATACACAGATACCACTGCAGTGCTCTATTTTCTTTGAAAACAGGTAGTTGTGAGAGAACTGACGTGTTTGAAGGTTTGTGTCTTTATGTGTAGGTACTGTATATATCCACATGCATAGCTTTTAAGTGTCTGCTATCCCTTAGCCGGCAATTTGATTAGATACACAGCGGGCCGTGGCTCTGTCACATTTACATTCAGATGGAGATTTAGTCTGTCGGCCGTCCCCTGCTGTTACTGGTGCAGTAATGTGGGGAGACATGGCTGGCTGCCCGGTCCACTTATACACACACCTGCAGGTAAAACTGCTCAATCCCACTGACTCCGCTATATGCTTGTCAAATTGCTCTCTCTCTTTCTCTCTATCCCTCTCCATCTTTAAGATTTGTTTTCCCCCCTTTATAAACAACTTAATCGTCTTATCACAGAGCCGTGAGTGGGGTAATAACCTTCAGCATGAAGATCTAGAAATGGGATTACATTTTGAGCAGTGTTTGAGTATGCATGTGTCTTTACATAGTCATATGCTTCCAGGGGCTTCATCTCAATAATTACTGAAACAGCACAGTGGAGAACAGAAAAAAGGGTAATTCTGTAGACAGACACTATAGGTGTACACAGTGCAGTCATGCACTAGATATTGAAAACAGGGTGAGTCATCCAACAATAATCTTAGAGTAATTATTAGCAACAGGAAAACATCACTGAGCTAGAATTCAGGACGGGGAAAGTATTTTTGAAGATAAGATGTACTTGATATCACTGACTTACAAACTAAATCATTTCAGATAAGAGCACAGGCTGAAACGTTTTGGATTTCTAGAAATTCTAGTGAATCCAATGTTAATTTAAATTTGACAAGAACATATTTTATGTCTATGAATATTTTTATTTGTATCACGTTAACATCTGTGTAAACAATTATTAATGATGACATAATATTAATGGATGAGTCTGGCATATTCTGTATTTTTCTTCTTATCACACATTGCATGAAAAGAAAACCCTGAAATGAGCTTATCCCAAAAACAAGGACTGTCTCTGTCAAAGCCTGAGAGGCTTTTGTCCCATAGATCTCCATTAAATATTAAAGCTCATCTCATATACCATGATCCTTCATGCAGTTAATGTTTTTGTGCAGATCCATCTATGCTCTTGTTGGAAACGGTTTGCTTAAACAAGTGTCCAGTTCTTTTAAGGAAACTTTTTGTCATTTTCTTATTTATTGTATTTAATGATGATTCAATTGCAGCCCATTTTAAAATAAACCACTCCTCCATGCTCCAGGTGTACCTGTGTGGGAACAGTGCAGAAGCAAAGCGAGCAGTAGCAGAGATGTCTACCAAGCTGGGCCTCACTGTTCTGGATAAAGGGTCTCTGTCAGCGGCTGGAGAGCTGGAGGACTTTCCTCTGCAGCTGTTCCCAGAGTGGAGGCTGCCTCTACGCGTGGCTGTCAGCCTCACCGCCTTCTTCTTCTTCTACTTAGTTATTAGAGATGTCGTCTACGGGTATGTTGAACAAGACAAAGACATCTCCTACAGAATCATGGTCTCCCTGGCCAACAAGGTAAACCTCCCCCACCTGGTTTAGTTTCCTGAATGGTGTTTTGTGCTCCTTTTAAAGGATGTGTTCTGTGTTTGTCCCCCATCTTTCAGGTGTTTCCCATTGTGTCTCTCATCATGCTGGCTCTGTGTTATCTGCCTGGTGGCATAGCTGCCTTCCTTCAGCTCTACAGAGGAACCAAGTACAGGTCAGACATTAAAATCAAGGAAAAATATGTCCCAGCATGGTCTCATCTTCAGGTTGTTAAAAAATGATGTTTTGTCCAGGCCTTCTGCGTCTGATACACACAAAATGCACCCTTAGCATTTCAATGAGAAGCACCAAGTTTGTAACTCTCCAATGTAAACCATTGGCAGCAATATAACAGCAAGGGCTCCAGAAGTTAGGGGCCTTACTATAGAAGCTTGAAGGTCCAAGTTATGGGGAGGTTGGTTGCATAGATGCGTTAAAAACTCATGAGGTCACTGCTTGTAGCCCATGTGAAACCAAAATTGAATGTGACTAACTTATGCTCATGACTAATTTAAGCTCCTTAAAAAAACACTTATTTTAAACAAAACCAACATGAAATATTCGGCCGACTCGGTATTACCTACTAGGCAGGGGTGACTACATATGGGCTCTGAACACTGAGCTATCCGGTGGCCCGTTAACTGCGTGTTTTAAACAGCAACAGTAGTGGAGTATCATGGTTTGACTCATGGTACTACCCCATGCAGTAAAATTGATGACCATACGAAAGTATTTGAGAGTTTGAAATCAAGAGGCTGCTTATTCCCTACCTTTGCAATTTGTTGTAAAAAGGGTGTATCTTTTTGGAGGTCTAACTCACTTTTTCATGTTCCAGACGCTTCCCTGATTGGCTGGATCGTTGGATGCTCTGCAGGAAGCAGATGGGTCTGATTGCGCTGGGTCTTGCTTTTCTCCATGTCATCCATACCTTCATGACTCCTACTCGCTACTCTGTCAGACACAAACTCATCACACTTGTGGTGGATGAGGTACAGCTGACTGGTTTAAACCTTCCAGTGTTTTGTACATAGAAAATAATGACATCAAGCTCACAATTCTTAAAGTACTGTGTCTCTGTCTCCCATAGATGGAGAACAATAAAACCACTCCATTTTACTTTGACAACACAGAGGCATGGGGCCAAGACTCATTCTATGCGCTAGGAATCCTTGGTTTCTTTCTTTATGTCCTGCTAGGACTAACATCCCTGCCATCTGTGGGAGGCTCTCTCAGCTGGAGAGAGTTCAACTTCATTCAGGTCAGAGCGCAGCTGGATATGCTTTATTTGCATGTGTAAATGTTAGATAGTTAGTGTGTGTGTGTGTGTGTGTGTGTGTGTGTGTGTGTGTTCACCTTAAGGCCTACAGACGCTATCAGTCAAGTATCAGTCATGTGCCTGCTATCAGTACAAAAAAAAGTAATTTAGCGCCTTGATAATCTATATTTGGAGTTTCCAAGTTTTTATCAGTTATTAATGTGTTGTAAAAGCAATATTTCACTGGCAATCATTTCCCCCGACCCTAACTAACTAACTAACTGCCTAACACAGGCACACAGAGTGAAAGCCTGGCTGGCTTTAGCCCAAGATCTTAAATGTTAAGTTATTCATTAAATAAAATGATGATACCTGGTATTGTTAATACAGGTCACAGGTGCATTTGTGTAAAGGTCAGGTCCATAGGTAGACCTCAGATAGGGCAGGAGATCTAGAGTTAGCGGTCTAGGTCAAAATAAACCTTATGACCTGGTTAGAAGAGTTTTGAAAGACATATAATAACAGGTGTACATTAACATAAACAGAGGACTGTAAATGATTGACTGTAAATGATCTCAGCAGAAGGATTTGCTAGTCTTAATGGGTTAAATAAGATCCCTAATTATCATTGTAGGGGCACTGTTCATTACTATACTCACATTCACATTAATATGAATGTTCCTTATTGTGCTGTTTTAGTCACTGTGGATGAGAACATCAGCAACTGAATGCTAAAAATGTAAATGAAAGCACATTATTCAAGTAATTAACAATAACCAGGCCACTGGTGCTACAAAACCAATTACTCTGGAACGGCTGTGAAACCATATGTATTTTTAGCTTATTGTTGTGGATTACTACAAGCACAGAAAAAGATAAGACAGATCTTTCATGAAAATACCGAAGAAAAGTTCAGTGTTTATATTATCAAACATGTCATTTTTGAAACTGTCAGTATTGGCGTTACACAGAAATAAAAAATCATCTAAGAGCTTTATGTAAGGCACTCATCTTCCAAGGGTTGTGTCTTAATTAGGATCAATGGACTAAAAGTATTTCTTTAGCCAACAAATCTGTCAAAACAATTTACTTTAATTTTTATTAAGAGAAATTCATGTGCTTTTTTTTGTGTTCAAATGTATAATGTTTATTTTCCTTGCATTTGACAATTGTGGACGGTTAAAAAATCTCGCTAAATAATTCCTAACCTAAGGGAAGAGCAACAATAAGAAAAGATTGGTAAATAAGAGAAGTTAAAGGGTGCTATCAAAATAAGAAATATTAGAAAAATCTATCCTATATTTAATACTAAATATCGCTTCCTGCATGAGGCCCATTGTGTGTTACATGTGTACATGTCCATGAATCTCAAATCCCGGAGTAAAACCAGGGCCGTCCCTGGCCAACTTGAGGCCCCACCAAAAGTTATATGATGAGGCCCTCTGTTTTGCGAGCGCCGACAAGGGGGG